AGGAGGAGGAGGGGAGGAGGAGGGGGGGTGGAGGAGGGTGCTGAAGAAGGGATATGGGGATGAGGGGGAGAGTGGGGGGCAACTAGGTGCGCTCGCGCCACATCTGACATCCGAGCTCTCCCGCCCATCCCTTCCCATGGCGCTGCTTGTTCTCTATCCGACGGCGAGTGCCTTGGCGGACCTGCCCCCCTGCCCGCGCACATGCTTCCCGGTGTGCACGTCCTGCGCTGCCTCGCCGGAGTTGCCAGAGCAAGCCAGCCGCCTCATGCTCGGGTTGAGGGCCCAGACATCGAGCGTCTCGAAAAAATCGAGGCGGAGGTTTTTCGCAATTTTCGGCCTCTCGGGGCCCTCGCCGGGCCTCGGGACCGTCAAAACACGACTCGGTATGAAAAGCTGGTCCCAGGGAAGTGGTCGGGAGGTCGGGGACCCGCGTCTCGAAAAAATCGAGACGTCGGATGTCTGGGAAGGGCAAGTCGAAGAAGAAGAAGAAGAAGAAGACGAAGTCGCCCGACACAACCCTTCCTACCCGCCCACGCTCACGCTTTCCGGTGTGCACTTCTGCCGTTGCCTCGCCAGAGCCGTCGGAGAGAAAGCCGCCTCGGGTTAGAGGGGGAGGAGGACAAGTCCAAGAAGAAAGAATCTGCGCTCTAAAGGGAACGTTCGGAGGCGTCTGTGTAGCACCCCGCAGTTGCGGATACGAGTGCGGGCACGGACTCGAAGTGGGTCGCGCTTGGGTCGCGGGTGGTTCGCGAGGTGGGTCGCGGGTGCAAGGGGCTCATCCTCCATTCCAGTAGCCTCGCCAGGGCGTGCACTTTTCTTTAGTGGCGAAGCTTTCGATGGTGACTTTGCCAACGCCGCAGCCACCACTGCGCGACGATCAGATCAACGACTCAAAGTTTCGCGGGGTGGGTCGCGGGGAGGGTCGCGGTGGGGGTCGCGGCGCGGGCGAGGACGACGACAGCAACAAGCAACAGCAAGCAACAGGAGGCCGGGCCACGGAGTTCCACTGCGGCCACGCACCCCCGGACAGTGAGTGACTGCTCGGCCCCTACACTCCGATGTCCATATCGTCTCTTCCTCCCACACCTCGGACTCAGCTTTCCCTTCTCCTTCTCCTCTCTGACTCTCTCCCTTCCCTTCTCCTTCCCTTCTCCTTCTCCTTCTCCTTCACTCCGATGTTCAGATCGTTTCTTCGTCCCACACCTCGGACTCAGCATTCCCTCCTGCTCCCCCTTCTCCTCTCTGCCGGGCCGATGGCGTGGAGCAGGTCCTGACTCGATCCCGCTCACCTTCCCGTCGATCGCGCGCCGAGGCTATGACGCGGCGGCCTGCTCGAAGCGCAAGGCCAAGTTTGACGACTTCTGCGGTACTAACGATGTCGAGATGCTGTTCGTGACGGAGGACATGGGTGTTTCATCCTCCTCATTCTCCTCCTCCTCCTCCTCCTCCTCCTCCTCCTCTGCCTCCTCGTTCTTCTCCTCATTGTATTAATCGTTTTCTTCCTCCTACCCCTTCCCCTCTTGCTACCTCCTGTCCCTCCTCCTACTCATCCTCATCATCATCATCGCCCGAAGATGCTCATCGGTTCCTCCTCGGCTTTAAGGGTCGTCTTACAGCACAGACCCCCCAACGAGCGGTTCAGGACACCATTTCGAAGTGTGCAACAAAGACAGCAGGAAGGTTGATCCGCATCCGTATTTACGACCACCAGAAGAAAATCACGTTGGACTTCCCATCCCCTGCCATAGCGTTTGATTTCTCTGATGATTTTCGGAAGCTCATCGAAGCGCACCACACGACCAATCCTCGAGACCCTGCCGACGCGTGGCCGCTTCGCGTTCGTCGCAATATTCATGTTCCGCACCGTTTGCTGTTCTTCAAGATGGGTCAGGTCCGTCACGCTGTCCAGGAAAAACAGAGCAAGAAGGACCTCTAGGCAAATCCGCACGGGATCGGCGGGGGGATGTCTCCAGACTTGCGCCCGAGAGAGGACCCAGTCCCGTGTGCCCGCAGAATTTATCAGGTCGCTCGCACATCCCAGGATGACGCTGGCACCCGCGCGCGGGGCATGGAGCAGTCCGTGCAGAACCTCAAGTTTTAGGGGATCTATTACTCTGAATCTCTGGCGGATCGGGCATAGAAGCGTAGATTTTTAGAGAATCCCTGCGCATTGAGCCGGAGCCGGCGACGATGGTTACGCCTTGCCCCTCGCATTGTCGACGCCGGCGTGCTGTTGTACATATTCATGCATGCGATTTGCAACCAATGTGCCGTCTAGGCACGGTACACCTGACCTGATTTCGAACGTCTCCCTCGCGCTCCCTCCTCCTCTTCCGCCTCCTCCTCCGAGGAGGAGGAGGAGGAGGAACCCGACGGGATCGGTCGCTCCAGGCTCTCTTTTTGGCCGCGGGCCCAGCCTTGTGAAAGCACGCGGCTGCTGCAGAGGGCTCCCCTCTGCTTCTAGTCCGTCGGGCCGCTTGGACTCGGAGTCGGCGAGCCCAGCTGTGCGTCGCGCGACGGCGGCGGCGCGCCACTGGAGATGCCCCCCCTTCTTTTCCCCCCGCTTGTTGCTTCCCCCTCCGCACTCACTCGGAGCACTCAGGGGCGCCCTGCGCGCATCTCGGCGGCGCAGGAAGCTTTTGGCATGCGCTCGTCGGGAAAACGTCCTCCGTCCGTAAGGAACCCATGGGGCTGCTGGAGATGCGGACGCATTGCGTCACGACCTTCGTGGAGCGCGTCTTGGGTGCGCTGGATGCGTCGCCGAGATTGCTGGTGGAGTTCTGACAGTCCTATCCGCCTCTCTCTGCTTGCCGCTTCACGGACATCCAGCGTTTTGCTACTGATCTTGAGACACATCTGATCGGAACGCATTGGCTCATATGGGTCTCCTTGTGTGGTCAATGCCCATCCCCCTACTTGTAGCGAGCCCACCTGGGCTTTCTGTCGCCCTGTGCGGCACACCAATGAGGCACTCAAAGACGCGCGGCACGTCATGGTTCTGATCGGGGGTGACTTCAGCTTTGGTCTGGAGGAAGACGGGACGCAGTGCGGCGATGGCTTTGGCGGCGCCCTGGGGGCCGGCGCCAACATGATCTGTGCGTTCGGGAATTTCCTCGCTGGACTGACATGAACCAGCCTGGCCCCACTCGTCGGGAGATTCGCGGTGAGGCGGCGTTGCGTTGCAGCCGTCTCGACCGTCTCAACCTCGCCAATCCCGCAGCCATCCTCTCCGACTTCTTCATCGCATGCGCTGTCACTGCGAAGGCAAATCTCACGGGGAACGTGTCTGGCCGGATTCCAGCGGCTGCTTCCGCCATGAGTAGGGGCCATCGAAGTTCCTGCGGGCCCCCTCCTGGGCTGGTTCGCACCCGATCTCTCCTGCCTAGCCTGAACTCTTGCCTGCAGATCTGGACCAGTGGGCAGCTCGCCCTGGCGAAGCAGTGCACGCGGGGGGCTCGCGCCCAAACGAAGAGACGGATGACCCGTGCGTCGGCCGCCGAGGTCGACGTGGAGGTTCCTTGTGCGCTTGCCTCTGCGACCGCCGCCGCCCGGCCCCCGCGGGGCGGCCGCGCCGCGGCGTTGGCGCGGAAGCCGCTCTGGAGCCAAGCTGCGAGAAGAGGCGAAGGCCGAGGCGAAGGCCGAGCCAAGCTGCGAGGCGAGGCGACGGCCGAGGCGAAGCCGAGCAGAACGGAGGCCGAGGCGAAGGCCGAGCCAAGCTACGAGGCGAGGCGAAGGCCGAGGCGAAGGCGAGAGGAACGGAGGCCGAGGCGAAGGCCGAGCCAAGCTGCGAGGAGAGCCGGGGCCCAGAGGCGCGGGGGGCTCCGGCGCTCTCTGCGCAGGAGGACCTCCCCGGGCTCGATCCCAGACCCCTCGGGGCCCCCCGCCCGCCCCCGGGCTTGCGGGGGGGGGGGATGGAGGAGGAGGAGTAGGAGGAGGAGGAGGAGAGGAGGAGGAGGAGGAGGAGGAGGAGGGAGATGGGGAGGAGGAAGAAGGAGGAGGGGAGGAGGAGGAGGAGGAGGAGGAGGAGGACTTTTTGGAATTGGCGTGCGCGGTGAAACCCGCTGGCCCGACCTCGAGGGCCACGTGATCAAAGGCTCGGGTCGGGCGAGCCGTGGCGCACAGGCTTGGGCGATGCCGAAGGAGTGATTCACGGGCGGACGGACTCCAAGGCCCGGGCCGGATGGCATCGTCTACAGTCGGGGCCCTGAAGAAGGAACCCTTTTCGTTGGGGAGGGGCTCCGCGTTCCTTAAGTGTTCCGCAGCTTGCCTCAGGTTGTCCTTATGTTTTCGATCGGAAATCGAAGGTTAACCGTATCGAATAAAGGGGCCTCGTTCCTTATTTTGGGCCCCTTAGGTCAAGGCCCCGGCTGCATTCGCGCTCGGGGGCGGAAAAGAGGGGGGCGATGACTAGGGGGGGGGGGGGGGGTATCATGGCGGGGGCCATGATATTTCCCCTGATCTCATGGCGCCTCTTCGTATCTCATTGCGCTCCTGGCCCCCCCGCTGGGCCGCGCACGTGCCGCCGGTCATGATTTGCAAGAGCATTGACTTCCCAAGAGCATTGACTTCCCATGGGCTTTCGAACCTGTCTACTTCATCACTAACTCACTCGAGTCGGCCTGCGATGGTGAAAGACGCAATCCGCAAGGCCGAAGGTTCTGCCGGGGGATCACCTGATATGAAAGGGCTGAAGACAGAAGCGAACAAGGACAGGATGACGAAAGACGAAAATATTGACAAGATCTACGACATGCTCTCGGAGCTGACCAAAGATACCGCCCAAACAAAATATGTGGCGCAAGCTGCACAAGCCACCGCAGACAAGGCAATGGAATTTGTCACAGAGGTGAAGCGAGCAGTCAAACAAGCTGAAGCTTCGAACGAGATCCTGAAGAACGACATCAAAGAAATAAAAGATATAATCGAGAAGAGCACGGGCAACAACCGTGGCACCACCGATACAGATGACAGGAGCAGACGGGTCGTTGCTTTGGGCATCAAGGACCCACTCGATTCCGACGAATTGGTGGAGAAGCTGAAAGGCATCTTATCCGAGATCCTGGGCGACATCACCGACCTCAACTTGGAGACGTTCAAAAACCAACGAAATGGCGACGATAACATTCCCGACCGCATCAGCTAAAGTGGGATTCTACCAGAAATATCGGGGGATGGAAGACAACAAGTGGTTGGATGGTGTATTTTTCAGGAACAACCAAACCACGGAAGAACAGGTTGCAGACAAACGGCTGGGCTACACAAAGTACCACCTGCGCAGGGAGTCGAAGCATGAGAAGGACACCGTGCAGATTTTACGGGGCAAGCGGATGGTTACTGTCAATGGGAAGAAGGTGGCGCGGCACGACGTAAACGGGAATTGGAAAACCGCTGCCGTGGGCAAGTCTGTGGAGGAGAAGGTGGGCGAATCACTAAATTTTTTTCGTGCCAAAATCATTCCGGAGCCAGAAACTGACACAGACAACGATCTGTAGAGTTGAGAGCTCAGATCAAAACGGCAACGCTAACGCTCCCAACAACATCAACACAACACAATTTGATTCTCCAGGTCCCCCCCAGCCATTCGCGTCGACAGGCAGCGGACCGCAGGTACCTCAACCAGGGCGGCATCAGCAAGACCGACGTCCTCTTCGAGCTGAACATGTTTCACCAACGACAGCTCCCTTCTCCAACCTCCCAGCCCCGTTGCAGATGTCCCCGGCTCCGACCAATGCGGCTCTGGAGTCCCAGGTTCCGACCTCTACTACTCCAGCTTCCGACCTCCAACTTCTGCCCTCTACGATTCCGAAGTACGTGCCACCGCACGTTTCTCATCGAGCTCAGCATTCCGACCCCTGCTCCCGCCCCACCGCCCCCGGCTTTCATGTCGCGGATTCGGACTGCCGCCCCGATGCGGATAGTGGAGGTCATCATGCCCCCCGGCTTCATGTCCAACTCGACCGAGGAGGGGGAGGAGGACGACGCGCCTACAGCGCCACGTCTGGCGGCGTTCCGGCATGCATGCTGCAGCACCGGTGTAGCGCACAGCGCATTTCAGCACGAGCTGACACACATGCATCGCCGCAGGCTTCGGACACACTCGAGGCGCACGACATCGCTCTTCCGACTCCGGAGTTATGGTGTGAAGCTCTCCCGGAGGACCTCCAGCCTCCACCATTGCAGCAATCCGACCTCCAACCTCCAACATCTGACCTTCCAACCCCAGTTCCACCGATCAACCTCCAACCTCCACCAGAACAGCATGCCAACATCCAGCCTCGAGCAACCGACTTTCCACCTCCACCTCCACCTATTGACCTACAGACCTCACCAGCGCACCACTCCGACATCCAGCCTTCAACATCCGACTTTCCACTGACACCTCCACCTCCACCTATCGACCT